GGAAACCAAGTGTTCATGAAAAAGGGTTAGTGACCCTTTGTGCTTAGCACAAAAATCAAGTAGCTGTACAAAAAAGGCCACCATTTGGCTGTTTTTCAAGAGGTTGGTGTTCAGATCAAGGAAAGCTTGGGCATCATTTTCAGCTTTTTGTGAACTGAGAAACCAAGTTCAGAAAATGTACAGAAGTGGAGGATGTTATTGAGGAAGGAATGACAAAGGCAGAATCCCCTTTTTATGTACAGATTTCCCACCCGACGCGCGTCGGATTGCAATTTCGCCGAAATATGTGCATTTTAAGGTCTTTTCTTGCATGTTCTACACATTTTCCGTTCATATTTCTCAGATTTTGTGCATTGAACTGGTCGAAGTGTACTGATGACACCAGTCTGTTTCTGGAGGGTGTGCAGATACTGGGATTACAGCCCTGACAATCTGTACATGCTGCCAGATAGTTAGTGAAAAGACTCACTGACCTTTTTTATGAGCACTTGGTTGGGATGAGGGTCACCCACTCAGCATAGTACTGAATGTTGGTGGGGGTGTACTTATTGAGGTGTTGGATAGTCAGCTTTTCCAAGACCAGTGCTAGTTCTTGAAGATCTGTTGGACAAATGAGCACCACACATCCACTCCCTGTGTGTTGAGCTTTGTCATGGTCAACACAGCTTGAAGTGGGGGTGGAGGTGCACATTCCACCAGAGAAGAGCTTGGACAAGTTAATAAAGGGCTGCATGAAAGTTGAGACAGCTGAAAAAAAAAAAAAAAAACTCTTTTAGCTACACTTACTGTGGTGGAGAGGATGAAGATGTACCTGAACCCAACCCACCCCATGGTCCAGGATGAAAACTTGGGTCTGTCACCTTGTGTTGCCAGTAGTGTGCAATGTTGCAGGACACCCAGAAGCATGGGGTTGATGTCATTGGGCAGAGACAGTTGTTTTTTATTATTTGTTTTTAATTAGATAGAAATTGTTTTATGAAAAACAAACGAAACGGGCTCCAGCTTTCCTTGATCGGAATCTTAGTTATGGCCGTCAAAGTTTTCATTTCTGGCCCACCAATATTCGATCGCAATGTCTTCTTCGCGGCGATAGTGTATATCTCATAGCGG